TAAATATTCATGTTGTCAATATTTTTTTTGCGATAGTCATAAATTGCGGAATGATAGTTTTCTAGAACATCATATTGAAATCATATTTGACCTTTCTAGAACTGATGATTTCATTGCACTTTAAGAGTTTGATGTGGGCAGATGTTTGAAATTGTTCGACTATTTATTTATAAACCAATAAAGTGTTGCAGCATGCAATTGCGCCGAACTTGTTACTTCGTCTGTATAGAGCTAAACCTACAAAGCGATTTATGGCCGAAATGTTCCTTCAGGACGTCGATAGAAAGTTACAAGGTTGTTACTACCTCGCCGCCGTCCACACCTGCCGCTTAATTCACTAAAACTTCGCAATCTTATTGATCTACTAATCTGAACCATATCCTCAAAACCATAAGACTGATTTTTACTTTCAATATTATTTATGCTTTGTCATGGTATTATGAATTACTTGCTTCTGTTTTGCTACTTCAAGACATTTGATGATTGAACAATTCTTCTGTTTATCATTTGTTAATTTACGAGAATTACTTGACTGGGATGCTTCTATTGTTTGAGACACGTGTTATAGATCAATCAACGTTAGTTTAAAACATTTTACCCGTTAATTATTTCGTTGAAGCAACAAATCATTGATAATGATGTTTTAAAAGCATTATGTGATATCTATCATTCATAGTGTTGAAGGAGTAAGAATTATTCAAACAAATTATCCGTTATGACTACTTTGAGTGATTTAACACGATAAGCTTTTAAAAGTTTCTATTATTTTCTAATGATATTGTACAGATGGAACAGTAGCAGTACTAATACCTAATGTATTTTATCCATGTGTTGCGGATAAATACTATTAATTCCACCTGCACTCAACGAGTTTCGTATACATTATCATAAAACAAACAACACGTTTGTTGCTACGAGTAGCGGATAGATAGAGATTAGAGGTGTGCTCAATTCATGCCGGATTTATTGTAAAATTCCACGCAGCAAAGCTCGGGTATTACGGAATTATTTAAAGAGTAAACCGACAATTACTTTATTCTGGTGCTGCGTGATTTATGCTGATTGTGCGCAAGCGCCGGCCGCTAGCTACCTACGAGTATGTAGGCGAAGGACATTACTGAAATGATCAGGAGAGTCGCAGCTCCTCATCAGCCCAATTTACATTTTGACAGCAGCACACGTTGCTGTGCAGGTCGCCAAATGTTGTGCAACATTCATAACTGGGTTAAATGTCGAATTGTTAAAATGATAACTAGGTCAAGTTTAGTGGTGATACCGTAACTACTGCTACATATCCATTACATTTGTTTTAATTTTTTCAGTTCAGAGCTTGGATAAATAAACTTTTTCTGTTAACATTGAACTTTCGTGTGTGTAACAATAACGGTTTCGCAAGTGATCGTTACCGGCGCGGTTGTTGACGTTTACTGAACAAAATATATTGGGTCAAGTACACGCACTGTTATATTACCGTTGCAACACGGTACCAGTAATCATCGTAAAGACTTTTCTAATCACATCTACGTCTGTTTAAGTGATAAATCTTCTTCAAAAAGTTCATGTGGTATGCGTTTAAACACCACGTGTTAAACACTTAGACTTCTAAACAGTTTTATTCATGAGATTTCGTCATAACACCAGAAGTTTTCCACTAGATGTTGGTATATATTACTGGCGAACTTCTCATTCATGTACGAACGGGCGATAGTGAACGCTGACGTTAGTCAGACATGCAAAATATTTATCTTCGCGCAAACCTACGTAAAGATGGACTATAATTATATTCGGTTGATAACGAGCCGGCATCATAACGTGTGAATACTTGGCAATGAGGAGTACGAGCCTGATCAGACAGGGCCGGATGCGTTCGGGCTTATTTAAGCCGACTTTGACCTAAGGAAGTAGGGTGTCAGCTGTGTACAAATTAACATGTAAAATATGATTACTGTCCCCTTTAGTCTAGTGAATGGTCTTAGAAACTAAAAAGGCCAGGTCTTTAATTCGATCGTCCGGCAATTGAATATTACGATGACGAATGAAAACAAGAGCTAAGTTAGTCACATTATTCTTGATGCATGAAAGTTAACTATAAGTAAGTAGTTGCCCCTTCTATATTACCTTCTCATTGACTAAAAACTAGATCGCCTAAATATAAGTTTCAATCTACTATAGCATGGAATAATATATGATATATTATTACTTATAATCAGTTCGTTGATCTCTTAAAGTGGACATGTAAATATTAGTTGGACAAAAACAATGAAAATGAATGGTTCACGTTACAAATTGGTTAGCAACCGGCACGGACGATATGTGCTTAATTGGCTTTCCAGCTCTTTTCAAGGTTTTGTTTTGATGAGGCAATTACGTGAGTTGGAAAAAATACTGGACGTTCCAGCTAGTAGCACGGAACCATGTTAATTAAGATGAATTTAATTAACAAATTTCACCAAGTAATCCTATATACTTTTATAATTATCTCCCTGTATGTAATATTAATAAATGAGTTTTGTTTACGAGTTCAGAATGTTTTTGAACCTTAATTTATTGTTGTTATTTATAATTGGACGTTTATTGTAACAGTGTTGTTACTAGGCCGGTAATCTTTTAGGATAACAACAGGTTACATAAGGGGTTATTTTAATATACCAGATTATTTGTTTTGTTGTATACTTACTGGTAGGCTTCGTATTATGTTAAAGAGCTAGGCAATGATGTGAGTATGTTTATTTTACATCGTTTATGTTTTTAGATAGTACCAGAGAAGTATAAAAAGCTTCCTAGTATAGTTACTTATAACGTCGTTGGATTGGCTACTCTACCCAGTTATGCGTAAGTCTAGTATTCAATATAATAATCTAGAATGAAGACTAAACTTAAATAAAAAATATAAAGTTGCGTGATGATTATATTTGAACTTTAACTTCTTACAATTAAGAGACAATATTCCTTATATTCTTATAATGGCAAAGCCATCCAGAATAACCGGTAATCGGATAAATAGAATATAGCGAGGGATCCTCTTTATCGAAAACCTTTCTAACTATAATGGTATTATGGCGAAACTGGTTAACAATCTTATTATAGTGTTTTATCAACGGCCTCCAGTCTTATAGGAGAAATTGCTTTATGATGCGACCTTTCGTTGACTTATCGATTTTTATAGTTGAAAGATGTTCATAAAAAGTGTAAATGATTTATTATCTTAGAGAGTTGGATCCATAGTAGATTTCCATTCATTAGGTTACTAGTAATGAACTGAGTTTACTGGTCTCACGTACTAGAGACAGTTAAGGCCATAATCGCCAATTCCAATATAATTATCAAAAATAATGTTGAAATAATATCTACTATATATATATGTATTTTTTGAAATTGATTGTGTTATTAGTCGCTAAGTCGATAATTAAGTCCGCCTTATGTACCTTATTTGTATAAGCATAAAAGAGTCCATATATAAATTAATAGTAATTTCAGTAACAATAATTATAAAACATTGATATTAACTAAAATCGCGGGTTGCTCACGTGAATATACTGAGAAAAGCTCTACTAGTTTCGAACCACAGAGGGGTTCTTCCTCATGAGCAGCGTGCGCGGTCGCGCCGACGTCGCGCAGCTCACTCGGACTCAGTATATTCACGTGAGTAACCCGCAATTTTAGTTAATTTAGTATGTCTCACGATAGTTATTATAAAAACGTGATATTGTTTGTCAATAATATACATTTCTATTGAAAAGCGTATGTGTCTATTTGTATAGGTACATATTTCTCGTAACCCAACTTAAATTCAAGTTGAAAATCAATCACATTATCTATAAAAAATAAAAATTTAAATTGCACTTTCCACGAAATCTTTTAACACCAATCATTCGATTTTGAATTCACCTGAATTGCAATACAGCTCAAAATGAAGTTCAAAGTTCTTTCAGAATGAATAGTACTCAGAATAAATCTAAAGGTAGCCGAATCGGTTCGTTTCTACGAACAAAGTAAAAAGTATCTTTACTTGGAATTTGGAACTTTGTGAGGATTGACTGATTAAAATTAAGTTATATTTGAAGTTACAGGTTTTATTTACCTGTTCTCTAAGGGCAATGCAACTTTAAGATAAGTTCGAAGTCCTAGGTTTAATTGCCACGTTGATAACGTATACATTAATTTTTATATACCTAAAAGTAAGCACTAAGGTATGATTTCGTGCTCATACCCTGAGCGTAGGAAAAGTATTATACCTCTACAATACCACATACCATTTAAAAAAAACAGAAGCAAAAATTTTCAGTCTAAGATTACTAATATATTACTCAAAGATCATTAAAATTAATGTCACAAAGAATATAATTTCCATTCTTCATTGACAGTACAAATGTTTGGTAACCACACATGTTAATGACTCGTCTAATCAATTTACTCGCTTGATTATGATAAGCCCACTCGTGGTTTAAGTGGGAATGGCAACTGAAATCAAAGAAGATTTGCATAACATTGACAATTGAAGGTGATTATACCTTTAACTGTAATATGACGTTATATCCTTACGTTTTCATTATGTTTGTAGCGTTATCAGTCTCAATTTTTGATAAAATCCTATTTGTTTCAGGCGCATTTACCTAAAGTACGGTTATCTACTTGTTTCATGAAAATTATAATAAAATTTTTGTGGACCTCGGAATCGAAATCAAGACCGCGTGGTGTGGGTGATATTGTAACCAAACCAACGTGGCAATTTAATAAAGATCACTTTGTAAAAGTAATATGTATTAAAATACTATCTTACTATCTATGTAGCGTTTCGTCTAGACAATATTAAATCAATATTATTATTCAATCGTAGAAATGGATGAACCGTTCTATCTACAGCCGAACTTATTATCAATAGAATGAATTAAAAGCATAAAACCGTTATGTAAAATAATGAAATACAACCAAATAAAATGACAGGTAACTTGCGACTACCAAGAAATGTTGAAGGAGACAACAGTTGAATGAAAACTCACCTGATCCAAAGTATTGGCGTCCCGGGCCAAACAGCTACAGGTCGGCTGAATCGCCGGTAAACACCACACAGGGAACGAAATAGCAAGTAGTCTATACACAACACTAAACGTTTATAGATTCACTGTCCTTTGAGTCCAAGGAATAGCAAAGGAAATTGTTTTATATTCAAGTATTGCTGTAGTCACTGTAGTTGCGAGCGACGTGGAGCACGGTGGACCATCTACGAGCGACTGGGCGGCGCGCAGCCGTGTCAACCTATATATACGTAGGTAGCTAGCAACACCGCCCGCCCTCCGCGCTCTTCGTATATGCAAAAATATCGGTGGAATTCAGAGCCTAATTTTCTCTGTCACTGCCTTATGCCGACACAATGAGAGCGTTGATCTCCTCGCCTGCATCTGTGACACTTGACCAAATTCTTTAATCTGACGGCTTAACGACTCCTTACTCATATCCCGAATGTGTTCAAAGCCATATACGGCGCCTCCGGACTTCTTAATGTGTTAATTAGTGTAGGATGTTGCTGTTTCTCATTATAACAACATACTTAATTAGATCACCTACTGAGGATATCAGTATCCCATGTTTTATGTCTACATGAACAACTGCCAGAGACGGCAGTAAACTCAAAAGGAGAAAACTAGATATTTTTGCATCACACTATCATAAATGTTGTGAAGGCAAGAAACAAATTACTGCAATATAATTTATGTACGTTCGCGATAGCAAATGATGGTTTTCGTATGTAACCATGTTAATGTTAACAATAAATATAAAAGAGTTTATGAGTTTATAAAAACGCCAGCCTATAGAATTGAAAACAATAGAACTGAATCATGTTTATAAATCAATTCGGTTTTAGGGTGATGATACTTGTACCAATAAAAAAATAAAAACAGTACATTATGTACGGCGAGCAGTCTCAACAATTTATGCTCTTACAAAACTTTGATAGTGGAGCAATTTGTTTATTCTTCGTAAATAGGAGTCAATTAATAACTCCGCACTTGTTTCAAAATGAAATTAGCAAACGTTTAATAAATATTCACCCCGATGTATTTGAAAAATTGTGGTCGCTATCACAAGTCTTTCGCGTACAAAATGGAACCAGTTCAAGGATGCTCCGCGACTAACATTGGGTTCCCGAACCATTTTTATTGTTACTGGCACATATATCTTCTTGTCAAGTATCGATGAGTCATGGGAAAGTTTCGCAGTACAAGTGTGATCGAGGCAGTTTAAATGGTTTGTTTAATTTAAAATGTAGGCGAGTAAACATTGAATTTTCCCTAGAACGAGCGTGGCAACTATTGTTCTGGTTTTTACATTTCACAGACCGTTTGGCGTGCGAAATATTATGATGGAAAATGTTATCGAACTAACAGAGAGAAAGATTTATAATATCTAAGATGTATTATGTACCTACTTTGTAGCACTTTTGTTACAGTTCATTGGTTGGTATACGAACTCTCTATGAACCGGCAACGGGTGCGACATCTGGCTCATTATTCCCGGAATTTCGGAATTCTATCAAACAAAGTTTCCGTTCGATCCGTCAAAAGTGAGATTTGTATAGAACTTTGTGATAGTACAGCGGTATAATGGAAAACGAGACTTAGAGATATAGACGACAACTTGAGGTCACCGTAGCCTTATTGTTTCTCAGATATTAATGTTGTAGCGAAGGATTTCAAAGCATAGTTGTCCTCTAGGTCGCGGTCGGAGTATGAGGCTCTTGTTTCAGTAATAAAGTCCACGGTTAAATGTGTCCGCGTCGTTGTGTGATGTTATAACGAGTTGTCGCTATTTTGTTAGTAGGAAGCTTAGGTGAATAATAGAAAAGACACATTCTATAGCGAATTTAACTAGAAATGTTTCTACAAAATTTAGAATCCTGTACCTAATAAAGTTTTATTTGTATTTGATGAAAAATTTTCCAATCTAAAACTGTCAATCAGCACAGTTTGTTAGTATTTCGAACTGGTACAAACTGGTACACATACGAATGCACATTCTATGGCATGTTAGTTCGTTATAGAAAATTGTTCGGCGTTCTATTTACAGCAGATTGATTTTAAGTGGATTTGTTTTCGATATGATATATTTCTTACAATATCAATTTGGATTTTCCTGTTGGTTGTTTGTTTTCTTCAATCAGATACCTTGAACTTATTTGTTCGTTTAATTTATAATAGTCGCTAAGAATATTCCACATTCAATTTGTAATTCAATGATTTATTTTGTTATTTTTGAAGTCGTATAAAACGATAGTGTTATAATGGACACATTAATTGTGCTGCCTCGTTGACTAAGTGGTCGCAAGTGTGACTGCTGGGCAAGGATTTTCGGAGTTGATTCTTGGGTCGGGCAAAGTATCACTGGGTTTCTAAAATAAATCTCAATAGCAGCATGGAGTCTGGAATTGTGCCCGGTATATGGCAATAGGCTCACCTCCTATTACATGGGAATCATAAAGTAAATAGTGAAAAGTTGGTGTTACATTGTACAGTGGCATTAAGTGCCGTAATGTGCGCCTCTGTCTACCCCTTCGGGGAAAAAAAGGCGTGACGTTATGTTATTAATTGTAGTTTTTATTACAAAAAATGTTTATCATTACGGAAAATGTGGAACATTCTGACGCATCTGGAGAAATTACAAATGTTCCTAAAGACTCACTTAGGATAATTTCTAAGCTAAATATAATAATGATCACAATGTCACCGGCTGCCCCGAGACGTGACGTCGCGAGCGCCAGTACGTTCATACGTTCGCACGAAACGAGCAAAGTTTCCGTTTGATATAACATGTTTCATAAATCAGTTTATTCATGCATTTCTACAAAACATACAAAACTATTCTTCCTCTGAAATTTTGTAATAGCTAACCTTCAAACAAAATACGGCTTTATGAATGAAAATACATTCGCAAAAATAAGTTGAAGAGTTTTGTAAACTACACAGTATCAGGACTGATTGATGAAGAAACATTAAAAGTATCGACTAAACAAATGTTGTTTCCTTTCCAAAAGCTCTACGCAAAAACATTAAGATCATAATCCTAGATTTAGAATTAATCTTAATTTATGACGCGCAAACATACTCATTTGAATATTCCTATCGTTTTTCATACAAAGGTGGGACTATTGACATTAAGGCTTATCGAAGTAAGTATTAGTTTTAAAAATATTGATCGGAGTTCCAATCATAGAGCGTTGTACTCTCAAGGCGCACTCGCGCCTTAGTTCAGTAAATTATAAAGTGCGTTAACACAGCAGTGTATTGTGTTGATAGATTAATATTAACTAACATACATGTACATAAAATATAGTATAATACTCGTGAACTATTCACTTGTTTAACAAACAAACATATTAGTAATACTCATAGTATGTTAAAGGAACTTTTATGTTTACTACTCTTACGTGATTTTAAATCACTTTGCAAGCGCTCCTCGTGGAGTTTCTGTTCATGGCGTAACACAAAGCTAGCAATTCTAATCAAATACATAATATTATGGAAGTACTATGAAGGTAATCAAGAAAATAGTTACGAGGGTTCGATTATATGTTTCTCCACAACGCAATGCAGTAAAGTTTATTCGAGAAATAATTCAAAGTGCATGACTTTATTACGAGTAACGAACTGTTTCAGTGGGACTTTGGTTTCTATCTTTTACATTTCATCCAAAATGTATTTATTATTTATAGTATACGTGAGTATTTTACAAAATATTCTGTATAGAGTCTAACAATAATGTAAATTTAGCACGTACTTAAGACCTTAAGTAAAAAACGAGAGACCTTATCGCAACATTTTTGACATCGTAGGCGTAAGAATAAACGATGATAAACGGTATCTGGTGACCGTGGGTAGGCTTGCTAACATGGTAAGTATTCCGAAGATTGTTTGAGATGAGACAGTAATGTTCGCCGATGAAAATATTCCAAGATCAGTTGCAGTGAGTCAAGTGCGAAGTACGATAACGTACCGGTTCCGGGAAATTCTCATGAGTAGCGCAGCCCTCGCTTGTTTACATGAGTTTAATAACAGCCGCACTCAGATTAGCGGAATTTATATAATAAATAATACTCTATACAAATATATCATAGAAAACACAAGTGTGTGAAAACGTTTCAATAGAAATGTTATGTGTGGTGTGTGACATTTTTTTAATTACGCAGAACACTTTTATATATTGTTTTTACTACCATTCCTTTTCAATGATGTGTTATTTTGTCTACTACTTTTTCTTTTTTTTTGTAATATAATGTGTGTTTTTCTTGAATATCGTTATTGTACATCTGCCAAATATGTTCTTCGGACTATCTAACAAGAAGAGTATTGTGTTGCATAAATTATCTATAAAGTTTCTTTTACTTAGTCGATAAACTCAATCAAAATCACAATGGCATAATTTTTAAATTAAGAAATCTTTACTTTTCCCAAATCCTTTATACCTTTGGGAAAAGTCCATATTTCTTTGTTTGAATATTCTTTGATAACCAAGGAACGTTTCAGCAGATTGTGTATAGCGTTCTTATTTGCATTGTTTAAGGACCACGAACCTTGGCAGGCTGTCACCTGCAGGCTGTAAGGTACAGGTTGCCCTAAGACTGGAGACGCGTGGGCTTTGTAGTGACAGCTGCCTGGTATTTCTGTATCCTTACTAAGCCTACAGTTCAGATTACTTTAGTCTCAAGATTTATGTGTATTTGAAGACTGTTTTATGTATTTTAAAATAAATCTGAAAGTATTGACAACAATGTTTGAGTCGAATCAGGTAAAGGAGAGATAGTACGATAGATAAATTCTGATATGAGTTTTAGTTAAACATAATATGATAAGACGAGAAAAAAATTTTAAAGTTCGATTAAAATATAACAAGCATTATTGAAGCAATAAGCACATTGAATAAGCTTCATTTGTTTGTATAGAAAACTTATATTTTAATTTTCTTCTTTCTTTTCTTCTTTAGTCTTTAAGTATGAAGAGATAAAGTCAAAAATCACTTTTGACTCCCACACATTGCCGCACAAGGCAAAATATCATTAGGAAAATTTTATTTAATACAACTCAACTCTTTTTGTGGACAAAAAGGGTTTTATTATTAAATGTATATTTATAGTAGTGGTGTATACGTAGGCGAGCCTCTGAGGGCGAGGGAAGCCTACATGAAACTACTAAAAGGCTAGCTCATAATCCAACGCCCACTCAACTAGA